CCACCCCCTCCCGCTTGCCTTCAGAGCCGGGCAATCCCGCCATTTACAGCCGCATCATAGCAAGAGATATACACAGCCGCACGCCGTTATCATTCAGCGCGGAAATGAAAAAGTAGCGGACGGGAAATATTGCCAAGTGTATTGTTGCGCCACCTCATTTCACTAACGCAAGCGAGGAGGCTGCACAGGTTGCCCCCCGGCTGCCGAAACGCGTCGCGTCGAACTTCCCATTATTTCGGAAACAACGCCATCTCATTTCATTTGTTTAAAGAGCACTTGGCGTCCGAGCCCGAAGTGAAAGGCAAATGGATTTAATGACTTTTCTGCTTTTTGAAAGAATGGCGGCCCGTGGCAATATGTACATTTGCTAATGGAGTGTGGCCGCGGAATGTGACGCGTCGGGAGAGGCAAGAAAACTAACCAGCTGTGGAAACTGTGATAAGACGCGGGCTTTATGTGATATGTATCGTAAAGCAGCGGGACTGATTTTCAGAGATAATGCCGTTCGTTGACGGTCTTCGGCAAGCACTCTCCCATATAAAACCCATTCTAATTCAGTTTGATCAATTAAGTCAGGTATTAGAAACCCCACTTGGCTTCCAAATTTGATTGATATTACGTACCGCTCACAAAGCGTTGTCGATTCCGGACTCTGAACGCCAAGCAGCCTTAAATCAGTGCCGTCAAGGAGTTAAAATTGTGGATCGTTTTACAAGCGGCATTGCTCGGATTGACACGTTCACATTAGAACGTGAATCTCAATCGATATCAGATTGGCTCTCCGTCAAAGACGTATTCCCGCACGTGGCCAAAGAACAACCCCGCAGTGAATCTAAAAAGGCGAAGAAAAAAAAATCCCAGCGGTAAATGTCATCAAAATATGGTACATTAGAGGTGCAGAGACCATTTAATAGGAAAATGATTGCAGGCGGCGTCCAGAGGCGTGTTGCGCAAGTTCTGTTTTTAAGACAATGGGGGAGGAGGGGTGTAAACGGGACATATTCATTTGTTCTTTATTTCTGAGTTGGCCTCGCACGATGTCACGTACTGTAATTGGATATTGGATCCATACTGTTTCATCATTTAGGGAAGGAAATGGAAGGAATGCTGTAGACATTCAACCGAGGTAGGAAAGCGAAACATGGTTTGAATAACATAATTAGGTCCTTTTTCACAACCGCTCTCAAGAAAACGAGTTTTAAAATAACAGACGGGCATCTGACACCTGGTGACTAGTTCGTCCATAATCTTGCTTTTTTTTTTTTCCCCTCCCCTTGTTGTGATTGTTTACTTTATTGCATTGTTTGCGTTATTAACCAACTGACTAGTTAATATTGCTCCTTGTTTTTGTTTGCTTGGTTTGTGTTTAAAAAAAAAAAAAGCCCAAATCAAGTTTATAGATGTGGATATTGGGGCCTGCAGTCAAGAGACAAGAACAAATCCGCAGAAAGTTTTTGCTCAACTTTTACCCTGTCCCCTAGCGGGACCATTTGTTTTCATTCCTTAAGTCAAAAATAATTTAGATGGCGCAAAGGCTGAGTTAAAAAAGAAGCTGCTTCACTCAAAGTCCCCGAATGGATTCCCCAACATTTATTTACTCTGCTTTTCAAGTGGAAGATCCATTAGCGAGATGGAAGGTTGAATGAAGAAGTAGAGAATGAGCAGAATGAAGACATGAGCTTTCTTTCTTTTTTTTTTTTTTTTTGTTGCCGGCAGATACCTTTGAGGCGCAGTCGGCGCCGCACATTTACACTTCACTCGCACCCTTTTTAAAACCAGCAGACCACAAATAAATTCAAATGTAGTCACTCAAATTAAATCGCCATCGCGTTTCTCGGAGAAACGCACTTTGCTGTGTGAAATATTTGATGATTTCAAAAGTGGCAAGTTCATCCCAAGACGGAACTCTTCAACTTCTCGTCGTGTGTTTGGCCGCATGCGGACGCTCAGTGCCACATTGGGTTTTTTTTTTCTTCTTTTTTTTTTTTTTTTTTGCAGGTTATTAATTGGAGAATAAAAACAAAAAAATGGTGACGCTGTGAGGTGTTGTGTTCCAAGCACATGTCTCTCAACAATTCAAAGCAGACTTAGCCGGTCTGAAATGGCGCATGATGACATAATTAGCGGGGTGGAGACGTCCTTCCATTCATCAGAGTGCTTTAGAGAGTAATAGATAATCTTAACGGTCAATTTGGAGGCCTTAATTGGCTTAAACGTACTGGTATTAAACGGAGATGGTCTTCATATTCCGCCCGTCTAATGTGTCTGATTTAGTTGTCGCCACTCCCACCGTGCCTCGTCGTTTATTCATGTGGACACGGACGGGATCGTGCTTGAAGCTCTTCTGTCCCAAAGATTTCCACAAAAAAAAAATTAGAGCCTGAGCGGTCCCACAGGGCGCACGGTCATGAGTTTCCGGTGGCTTTATTGCACAAGCATCGACAACTTAGGGTGGGGCGGGGGCAAACGTAGCATCACTTTGTCATTTCTCACATCTCCAGTTTTGTTTGCGCTGTTCACTGCAGAGCAAGCAATACCAGCGAGAGCAGACGGGCTGTTTTGTTATTGACGCTCGAAAGCAGGTCAGGGTTTTAAATCCAAGACATAAAAGATAACTGACACACAATGTATGAAAGACACAGCACAAGACAAAAAAAAAAAAAAAAAAAAAAAAAAGAAAAGATGGAATTAATGAGTCCCAAGTGGATGCTGCTAGCGTTTGCGCGCTACACATATGCAGGTGTTTGTTAGCGTCGTATCCAAACGGCCAGCGCCGATCATTATCCGGACGCTCTTATGAATGTAAATACAAATATTTGTAGTTGTTTTGGTCCAGTTGTGAAGCCACAGGTGGGGGCCGTATGAGTGACGCGAATAAGTGAAACTCCAGAGACAATATTTGGTTTGAATGTTCTTGCTCCAAGGTAAGGTCCATTTGTCAGATGTCAAAACAAAACTTTTTAGGAACACACTGATAGGGCTGAACCATTGTGTGTATGTGTGAAAAGAATTAGCAATATATATCTCTAATATTATGACTTTTCTCAGGGTTACCTGCCAGCCAATGCTGAGAGGAGAGAGAACGTCCTGCAGAGGAAGCGACAGGAGTATTTTGGCTTCATCCAGCAATACTACGACTCCCGCAATGACGAGCACCATCAGGACACGTACAGACAGGTACGCATAAAAGCCCCCCCCCCCCATGCTCAAACATTGCGACAGATTGTCTCAGTGCCGCACTCGAAGGCCTCGATGAGATCAACAAAAGATTTCCAATTACAAAGGGCGACGCCGCATTTTGTTTGGAAGGCGTCACAGGAGAGCAGTGATTTGACCAAAAGAGCTCTGGCCTCACTCTCAGCGAGGCGATGTGATCCAACTCTGCCACTTATTGGGCCGAAAAACAAGCTCTTTGGCTTGGGAAACAACTCCTTTCTCTTTGTTTATCGTCCAGTTGATTTCAGACTGATCACAAACATCAGACTGGGGCCGCCCATCGCAAAACCTTGTCGCGTTTCATCCAATTTCACACAAAATCTCTTTGCCAGCTTGTTTTGACGATGGCTCGGAATTGTCTTAAAGCATCTTTTTGTTTTTGCCAAATTTCTTGAGTACTGATTGGCGTTTGAGCCCCCCCCCGCCCCCCCTGTGAATGAGTGCAACTTTCTGGCAATTAATTTGACAGCACATGGCGGAAGGTTTATTAGATTTATTCATTCTTATACTGCGCAGTCATCACCCGTTTGTTTTGCGGTGAATTTGTGTTTATGTGCTCGTCCGTCAGCCAGTTGGAATCTGCAATTGTTTGTCAATGTGATCTTTTTTTTGTTTTTGTTTTTGTTTTTCGTCACTTTGACGCACAGACTTTGTGTGTACACTGATGCTCTTAACCATTTTGGGCATCTCGTTTTTTGTGTACTTTGCGTTATCAGGCACTGCTTTATTCCAAAGATCCTGCTGCCATGTGCCTTGACGGATGTTGAAGCACGCAAGCTTTTTCAGCAATGCCTCCCCCCCCTTTATATCGACACCATTTCTAGTTGGAATTACTTGCCTGACCAGCCGAGAAGGACAAAGAGGAGCGTCTATGCGTGCGTGCTGTTGTGTCTAAAATGTTCTCTTCCATGTCAGATCCAAATAGACATTCCTAGGATGAGTCCCGAGTCTTTGGTGCTACAGCCAAAGGTGACAGAGGTAAGGGTGACCAGGAGAACCGAGTACACCCTCCTGACTCAGTTGTCTGTGACAAGCCAACCCCCCCCCAAAAAAAATAATAAATCAGGCGCAATCTGGACTGTCCCAGCGAGCTTGGCTCCATCTGCTGACCTGCATCCGTTTTGTTTTTTTTCCTCCCTTCTGACGATTCTGTCCGCCTGCCGTGTCGCTCGTCCGCTGGGGGGGTGCACTCTGAAATGAGCGTGCCTTCAATCGAGGACGCCGAGCCAAACTAACTGTCGCCATGTCCGCCGTCTGATCTGTGCTAACTTGCCCGTTGCTTCAGTTTGTCTTTTTTTTTTCTCCCTTTTCTCTCTCTGCAGATTCACATTGACATACCGAGAACTAATCCTCTTATTCCTCTTTTTCAACAAGCTTCTGTCCAAGAGGTGAGATCAGCCCCTTTCCTACTCTTTTCCCCTTGCGCAAACATCATTCTTTACCCTCTTCATGTAGCCCAGAAACATTTGAAAATGTACCGTCGTCAATATATTCAATATTCGTCAGAACAGGACGGGAAAGCAAAATAGTACGACGGCAAACCGCACGAACCAGCGAGCGCCGCAAGACACACAGAGTACCGTGCGGTGGAAAAGGGGCCTAATAAACTTCTTTGCCAGGCTGCAACAAGGTTATCAAAGGCCTTAAATTAAACAATAACTATTCAGAGTAAAACATAAACCAAGTTGCCACACATGGAAGCCAAGATGTCCTTAAATCTAATAGGTTATCTATTGGTCTTGATAAGAAGTTGTTTCCCTGCACAGGAGACAAATTTAAGAACTCGTAGCCTGATAAGGAATTAAAAAAAATAAATAAAATTAAAAAGACGTGTGGCTAATGAGGTTGCCAATCAATGTTGAATTGAACACTCCTTTAGGCTTACGCGCGGGTGTATTGGGCGAGCGAGGCGGCATATTAACATTTGTCGGTACACAAAGACAAGTCGAAGCGCAGTCGCACAGCATGTGCCTTTTGCCCTTCTGTTGTAAGGAATACAACTCAAGGCTGGGAAACAAAAATATGAAGCGCTTTATGATGATAGATGCCGTTCACACAACCCCTCACATGGTTTTTTTCCCCCCCCCCCCCCTTTGGCAGCGCTCTCCCTTGTGCTTGCAAAATGAAAGCCACAAGCACTGATTTGGAATATTCCAGCGCCCCCGCCCCCCCCGTGCACTTCCCTCATATATTTCGCGATGCAACCAAAGGGCCCCCTTTTTTTATATGGTTAGGCTTGCTGCAGTGCCACCTGAAAATCACCTCTGCTTCATTTTCATTCGGTTGTTTGTTTCTGCAGTGCACAAGCCCCTCCGAATTCCCCACCGCGTCCCCCCCACCCCCTCGTGGGGCTTGGTGAAATTTAGGCAGTCAACAGTCTGTTGCATTTCAGGCCGCGCCGGATATTGAATTGATTCTGCGGGGATTGCATGAAGCGATACCGAAGCGTTTGCCTTTTTGGTTTTGTTTTCTGACCAGTTCACGGTATGTGTTTTTGTTTTCAAATTGCGTCCTCTGCCACGCTGTCCCATTTGAATTCGATGAATTGTTCAAATGTGGCCTCGGAGATGCTGGAATAAAACTTGGGGAAGGAGAGAAAACTCTGGTTTAAACAACAGATAGCAACATTAGTTTCCATTTGAAGTTGCTTGTTATGTGCCTTTTACATCCAAAGGTTGGCTTATTCGCCCGTAATGCATCTTGCGTGGGCAGTGGCTGATGCTTTTTCACTTGAAACTCTTCTGTGTGTAGGAGCCAATGTGAAATATGCATGTCAGCTTTTGAAGCGGCATGAAAAGAAAAGTGCCATTACCCGCGCACCCCCCACCCCCTCCCTTTCCTGGCGCCGGCGCCTCTCAGTTTGATGGATGGGGCTTTGATAAAGGTGTGGAGGCAGGAAAGGGGATAGACCAGAAAAGAGCGACATCTTACAATCACCCCTGACTGCTTTAACAGTGATTGGACTTATTTCAATAAAGCAACAACAAAAATAAAAGTCACGTCACGATGTTCCCCCCCCCCCCCCCCAACACGATGAGCTATGAGGTTATTTAGAAAGTGACAGCAACATGACATACTCTCCTATGTAGGGCGGGGGGAAAAAAAAATATGCTTGATGGGTATGATGCGGGAAAGGGGCCAGTAGATGTATGTGTACCTCGGTGGAAATCCATTTGTGCGCCAGGAAAACAAAGCCAGCATCCAGCCGCCTCTAATTCACCTGAACTGACAGCAAATGCGGCACCACTCAAATGGGCAACGTGAGCCAAAATACATAAAAATAAACAGGAATGACCGCGGCTGGGTACAACAACAAAAATAGCCCCATTGGAAAAGAAATATATAAATCTAAAAATCTGGTTTAGTTGCTCGGTTCATTTTTTTTTTTTTTTTTGCTTTCCCCTCACTGCTCGCATTGGTCGAATGTTGTTGCTATTAAATCACCACAGTTTTTTTCAGCCAGACTCCCAGCGCAAGGCAATGTTCTTCCTATTTAATTCCATTTCTTTTTGCAAGCTTGGCACGCCTCGTGTTACTCTTATTGCACTCAAGTGTCCCCCCTCGCATGCCTCACAAATTTACACTGACTGGTGTTCTCCCCACTTTTTTTTTGTTGTTTTTGTTTCCCCCCCACTGCGGGCAATGAACGGCCAATTGTTGACACTGTATCTCTTGTTTAGATATTTGAACGGATCCTTTTCATCTGGGCCATCCGCCACCCGGCTAGCGGCTACGTACAAGGCATCAACGACCTGGTAACGCCCTTCTTCGTGGTCTACGTCTTTGAGTACATCGGTGAGTGGCTTTTTTTTTTTTTTTGTTTGTTTTTTAAACCACCCCCTGCTACAAGTGGCTGCCCCTGTGCACAGTTCATAGGAGCACCTTTCACCTTTCCTAGCTGGAAGGACTCAGGGTTCATTTGCTGCTTCATCACCGCGCGTCACAGGGAATGAAACACCGGTGTTCTCCAATCCGTCTTTTTTTGAACAGCTTCAGGGCCACCTCAGAACTCTTTCTCGGTCTTATTTTAAATTAAAAAAAAAAAAAAAAACTCCAGTGGAAATAGTTCTTCTACAATTGGCTTCTCAAAGCAGTCGAGAGATTGAAATCTATATTTTAGTAGCCAGTCGAAAGCGTGTTGAATCCCCTCAAAGTGCTAATCTGCTTCAATTTGTTTTCTCGGACATTTTCGGCGTTTCTATCCATTCAAAATAGAAATTGGAATCCTCTGAGGGGAACCTCGCATGCACCAACCACTGTCACAGACACATTAGGGCCCCCACGTTAAGTGCTGGCTTGCACGCAAGAGGTTGGAGATTTTGGAGTCTATTTTAATCCCCCCCTTTCAATTTTTTTTGTATAACTTTTAGTTTGGGTTATTTCAGCACTTAGCTCTGCGGTATAGAGCCAAACAGCTGCAGTACGAATTTGAACATATGGGAGGGAAGTTGAGAAGTCCATAAAAGCCTTGCCGGCCAAAGTCGCGACACCCCGACATATTTTCATCAACATTTTCATCCCGATTGCAAAATGAAATGGCATCGTCAAGCGTATTTGGCATTGGCGTGTACTCAATAGTAAGTGCTTGCGCTCGGTCTGCTCGAAAGTTGCATCGCGCGCGTCCTTAATCGAGAATATTTGTACATGTCAGTGATGCAGACTTCTTGCTCCACACTTTCATCATGAAGTCCTTTCTTCTTTGCGCTTTCCTTCGACTCTTTCAATCTCCACCTTGCTCCGTTTGTTCTGCCAGCCTCTGTGGGCGTGAACCAAGACCGCGGCTTCAAAGCATCGCGCTGTGTCTCTGTTCCCTACGTGTGCGTGTGCGTGCGTCGACGTGCGCCGATGAGCCGCGAACAACACGCGCGACTAACAAACCTTTCTGTCGTGTCGGCAAAGTCGACTCGTGCCCGCTCTTGATGTTGTCGTCAAGGGACGAGTATCTCCAAAGCTGACGTTAGGTGGGCCTAATCTTGTTTCTTGTAGTTTTAACACCCCCTGAATATTTTTCCTCTGCTTTTAAACAGTCTCCTCCAAAAGTATTGGAATGGCAAGGTCTTTTTTTTCAGCGTTTGTTGTAGACTTAAGACATTCGTGTTTCAGATCTGAGATTGAATATGAGACATAGTTGTGTATAACAACTCGGGACAGAGTGCCGTTTTTTTGTTTGAAGCCACCATCTTTAACTCTTTCATTCCACAAGACGTACTTGTACTTCTTTTTAAAATTAGGCCCCGCCTACCAAGGACGTACTTGTACGTCTAAGTCTTTTTTTGCGTCATCGAGAGGAGGAGGGTCTGATGCAATCTGTGAATGAGAATAAGCCGTTTGCATTGTAAATCGTGCAAATAAGCGACCAGTAGGTGGCAGTGGTGCCTCACATGCTTGAAATGCATGCTTTTACAAAAAGCTCTTTTTCTCAATTTTTTGCCCAGGAATCGCCATTTTCATGAAACTTAAGCCATTTTGTAATGCCGTTTGCTGAAGAATGGAAAAAGATATAAACAATTTTTTTTTCTGCTGAAAGAAGAGAGTCCACACTTTATTTTCATCAGTCTCAGACCTACCAATCTTTTTTTTCCCCCCATGGCATAAAAGCTGGAATCGAGTTTGCCGTTCCAATATTTTTGAAGAGATGCTGATATACTTTTCTGAATCTGTTGGAATCCTGAAACTATTCCACCTGGATGGTCCTGAGATGACAGATAAATGCCCAAATGAGGTGGCTTTTACATCCCAAAATAGCTAACATAAATGAGTCACATTTTCGTTTAAGATTAGTTATATTTTGTCCATCTGGATCGCAGTAAAAAAAAATAGTTCATCAAAGACCGCAGGGCACATTTGTGTTTACCCACCTGGAGTGTGAAGCAGTTCAGCTGCTTTCGCTCTTATCAAAGAGGGAATTGATTTGACGCGTCGACCGTTCTCATTTCCAATTTGTGAGCTATTTTGTCCTAGTTCTCACACCATGAGTCCACCGTTATAGTCCAATAGTTTGCGGGCCAAGGAGTAAGGCCAGCCGGGCTTTAATTGACACCGGATCCATATTGTTATCCCAATACCGGTGTCAACGTAAGGATCCACGCCGGGGAGCCATCATGGCAAGGGAGCAACTCGCAATGACAGGGGAGGAAATAGAGGGAATCGGGGCGGCGTCTCCGGGAATGACAGCGGGATAAGCAACGGTGCAGGAAAAACAAGATCTTTGAGAAAATGACTGAGTGCGAAAGTGCCCTCATGCTGTCAGGTGGCGGGCGCTCCGTCGTCGCTATCAGCCGGGAGATGAGTGGCCCGCTGTCTCCTGTCACCATTCCGCACTTTGAAGCAACACTTGTCACAGCCGGCAGCGAGTGGCGAGCGTTCACCGTTTGTTTCCTTCGTGCCGTGACCAACCTTCTTTTCGGAGGAGCGCGTTGTGTGACTGAGGTGAAGTCTGACCATCTGTGAAATCTGACAATCTTTGGAAATTTGTTCAGAAACAAGAGCAGCTGAAGTGGCTCGAACTGGTCCACGGAGGAGAAACTGACGGTTAATGTGTCTTCACTCTGAACACTTTTAAACCATAAAGCCTCTGCCGATCCCCCGCCACGCTCCAAAACCCTTTCATCTCTGCTAAATCAAGTGGGATTGGGTACGTTCCTTCCAAAACTGGCCCCTGTTCCCAATTTGTTCTGCATGACGACTGGTGTGTGCCCGGGGGCAAAATTAATGCATGACGTTTTTTTTTGTTTGTTTTTTCCCCCTTTTTTTGTGGGTCAGTCTGAAATCACGTGACAGACCGTGCCTAGTTTGTCAAAGTAGTACAATTAGTCAGAGGGGCCAAACGATTGGCCAGTGAGCATGTAGTCGTCTGTTGAGTTGCTGTGATGGAATGTCAATCATTAACGAGGGCGAATGTATCGCACGCGTCACCCCCTTCTCCCCTCTTTTTATTCATATTGCAGACCTCGAATGAATTGCCGTAATCTTTTGGATCGGCGCCCGTCTTCTGTAATCCAACATCCAGAACGACATGGTCACTCATTGCTCTATTTAACCCGCCCGAGTGACAGCGAGTACCAGCTGGGAAGCTGCTGGGTCAACGCTTTCAAGGCCGCTCGCGGTTGACGTCCGTGAAAGCCTGCTGTCTGCAAATATAATTAGCAGTCACTCTGCCGCGCCGTGAAACACTGGCGGGGATGGACAAGAGGCCGATCGCGCGAATCCTCGCTTCATTTTAACCCAACGGGCCTCTCCTTTTGTCGTACTTACGACCGAGGCTAAAGTCTTGTCTGCGCAAATTTCCTTTCATCCGCTTCCACTTGAAATCATCCGGTCCGCAGCTTCGTTTATGCCGTACATGAACGCGGCGGCTTTATATTGCCGTTGCATTTTGTGCCCTTGGTGTTTCCACATATTATTTCATCTCTTCTGAGCTTCTGCTGTTGTTTCGACCCCCCCTGGCATGGAGCTTTAGCCGCAGCAGTGTTTACTGCTGTGCCATGCATTTAGTTTCACTGTAGCTTGACAACTGGAAATTTCAGCGGGGCTCTGACATGTCTGGTGCAAGGTCCGATTGATTAAAGGGGGGCGGGGGGTTGATCAAAAATTCAAAGTCCACATAATGTATCTTGAATCCCGGTATGTGAGGAGAGAGTCCTCCCTTTGCCCCCCAAATTTCAAATCTTTACACCTCACTGAATCGGAACTTATTTTGATGAAAGCGCTAAAACGGAGCTGTCGACTTGGATGATTGTACATTAATTTCATAGCCACCAGATTTTTATAATAGCCTTCTCCAAAGAAGCTATATTGAATGTGAATGAGCTCATTTTGGGGGGGGGGGGGGAATCGGGACTGCGACATGTTTCTCCCATGCGGCCTTCCTTCCTAACCTTCCCCATCGCCTTGTTTGGCTCTACGTTGCCGTTCTGCTTCTCCCTTATCCACTCTTACTTACTCTGATTCCTCCATCTTTAATGATTCGGTGAGATTATTGACTCAGTGAAAGCGTTGTCTTCTCCCAGACAGTCCCCCCCCCCCTCCCCATTTGTATTACTCTCACAACCTGAGCTTTGCCTTGCTGCAATGTTCTGTAGGCTTTAGAATGCAATCAGCCTCTTTCTGGAGTTAAGTAATAGGACTGGGACCGGCCGAAATTGAATCAGCCGCACAGTTTTGACCCTCAAGTCTCTGTCTTCCCCCATCCGTCGCCGCCGTGTCCGTCTTTTCATATCACTTTATACTGTTGCCGTTGTTGATGGTCGTCCCGTCTCGTCCAATTTGCTGCCTCCCTTTGGTGATCGGTTGAGGTTGCGTAGCCGGATCGCCTTTTCAAAACCAAAGAAGAAAACGCCGACTTGGAGGCCGGTTTCAAATGGCGAGTGAAGACCTGGCTTCGCCACGGGTTCCGCGAACCTGGTCCTTTCCCTCATTCCTTCTGATAAAAAAGCGACAGGGCTCAGAAATTCCATGTGGAAATAGTTCTGTCAAAGAGTGATTTATCGGCTGTGAATAATCATAAGGGGGGTATTGAATATTTTTAGATTAAGTTAATTACTTGACTATAAAAAGCCTTAAATTGAAACGCGGCGAGTAGCTTCAGATCTCTTCACGTCGCTCTCGTTCCCCCCCTCTCTTGCCGCCGACACTTGATTGGGACGCAAAAATATGTTTTTATCTTTTGGATGCCTCGCGCTTGACCTGATGCAATTGGATGCAAGCGACGCAATCATCGCAGTTGGGTGCCTTGCGTCATCAATTGTCATACATCTGGGCGTAAAGGCATTTCATGGCGGATCATTTGCATAGACGTCTGCATAAATGGTGGTGATGGTGCAAAAAAACCAACACCCCCCCCAAAAAAAAAAAAAAAAACACAACAGCAGCAGGCCGTCAGACACATTAAGTCCAACTGTGCTGAGGCATTTCATCGCCCTTCAGCTTCACTTTTCGTATCCTCCGACGTGTCTGCTGCGCCGCGTAACGTCTGTGTACCGCTGTTCCCCTAATGTGTTTTATTCCCAACTAAACCCGCAGATTACACACGGTAATGACTTAATGGACTTCACGAGCGGGATCTCAAGAAACTCTTTGTCAGCTCCCAAATGTGTCCATTGTATTATGGAGGCTGATTGACGCTGCTTAAGCTGGAAGTGAACATCAAAAAGAGATGAACCGACTGTATTTTTGTCCGAACCAGAAAACCACCTCACACTATCTCAAGCTAATTGACTAGCCGCTTTTGTTTTCTCGTCACTACTTTACCCGTCCGTTACTGTTGTGCTGCGAACGTACAACCGGCTCTGCTTCCCCGCCTTTCCCGCCTCATGACATTACTCTGGCGACGGGATTTCGATGACATGCGGGAATAAATTGCAATTGTATATGTTGTGCCGCCGGCCAATACGGCAGCCTATTTGAGGGAGATAGTTGCGCCGCTCAATTAACATGATGTGGTAGCCCTGCTCGACATTAAACACTCTGAGCGTCTCCTCCCGAGAAACAAGTCTCAGCCCCGGGGTAAGTGGGTCATTATGTGACTGCGCGTAGACAGATATGGTATTAATATCTGTATTCCATTTCATGTCAAGGGCTTACATTAGCTTGCCAAGAGCTCTCGCGCCTGCCGTTTGGTTGCGTGGCCGTGAGGCACGACCGAGCAGAAAATGGGAGATGGGGTGATTTTTGCGGCCCGAGGTTTTCTTTATTACTCGTAAGGGTTGAAGCTCGGAATCTGCTGTCGATAAGCTTGTCACCCAAGAAGTACCAAATGATAGCGTGGGCTGACCTTACACTCAGACCTGCCCGCCCGCGGTCACGGTTGCTAAGGCCGTCAAGTTGTCTGAGCCAACGTGGTTTGACAATGTCAAATGCTCTCTGCTTTTGGAGGCAAACCCGAGTTGAGATAGAAGCGTGCAGGAAGGTTACGTCCATGTCAAACTGGCACAAGGTAATAATCCAAAATTAAAAAAAAGATGGGAGCTAGTTCATATATAGTTCATATACAGTCAGGAGCAACGCTGTTATTGTAAAAAAAAAATGCCCCCCCCCTCCCAAAAAAAAGCTCTAAAGTGTGCGTCAATCTAGGGAACTCTTGGCAGCCAATGAGTTACCGGTAATTGTTCTCCCCGTCAGTATCCCTCGCTGACAGACTGGAAAAAAAGAAACATTGTGTGTCGTGAATTGAATTGGCCAGTTTGCATTTCCAGTGTCTGGCTTAGCGAAAAGGTCAATTGACAAGTTTTGTGGGGTGGGGGTGGGGTGGGGGGGCGGCGAGATGCTTCTCTGCACATAAAATTAATCGGCTTATTTCTCTCGAGAGTAGAGATTATCCTCTCAAGTTTTGCAAGACTTTAGAAACACACCTCATCTTGCTACCTTGCGTCCCTCCCCGCCCCCACCAACCTCTATTTCTTCACATTACTGTCAGCCTAATCTCGTAGCAACCTCCCGCTGTGATTCCGTGCGTCACGTCGACGAGTCAACGTGTCGGTGCCACCGCGTCTTGCCAAGTTGACTCGCCTCCTAATGATGCGACAGCTTGAATGCCACCTCTGGGATGAAGAAAAAAAAAAATGCTCGACTCTCATTAGCGTTGGTGCGATGGCACTAATTGTACCGCGCCTGCTTCGCCTAACCCTCGGCGCGAGGTGCGGCGGGCTCGCATGTTTTCACGAGCAGCCTACGTGTGTCTCATCTGCAAGTGTGAGGCCTCCAGCTTTTGCACTTTGAAGGTGGCAGAGAGATTGTAACATGTTTAGGGTCTTTGCCTTAATAGAAAGTCAGTCAATTAATTGGACTCATCCTGAGCCGCCGCCACTGTAAATCATATGTGGTGACTGCGCCGCTGGCTTTAATCTTATGGATGGTGAAATTCTGTTTAAACAATGGCGACACTCTCCGATGGCTTGCAAACGTGGCTTTGCTGGTGATTAATTTGAACCAGCAGAATATTGTCAAACGGGATGTTTTTTTTTTTGTTTTTTTTAACAGGCGCATTTACTTTATGGTTACATCAGGCTAAATTAGGTCTTTTATCATCTTGCATCACATTACCTTGTGGCCTGTAGTCGTAGAGGGCAGATGGCGACGCCGGTTGTGAGCGCGCGTGTCGGCGCCGGCGCTCGCTCTCCCGAGGTGTGACCCGGCTCTGCGTGCCAGGCTGTGCCAAGTGCTCACAGCTGGCCGCAACCAAGCAGTTGGTCCCGCTGGACATGTTGCGGTTCCCCCCCCCCAACGCCAGGACAAACAGGAAACAAGCCCTCGGGCTTGGCAGGAAACTGGATCGGTGGCCAGGGGAGCGAGCGAGTCGAAGAGGAGGCTAGCCGCTTAGAGAGACGGGATAATGTCAAAGAGGTGGGTGGGAAATTCATGATACAATGCCGAGATGATTGGAAGTGAATGGCTTTGGAGTGTTCCACTGGTGTAAATCACGTCAACCATCTTTCTAATTTGCTACATGGTTTTCCCATCCTTTGGTTTCTTTGCAAATAATACATTACGACCACAGATTTTTGTTTTTTGGGAGGTACAAACTCTCTGTTCCTAAATTCCCCAGTTTCCTATTTGTAAAGCATTCCTACAGAGACCGAGATCACGTTCCAGACACGGGGAGTTGTCATCTGTTCTGTTGCGCGAAGGCACAGCTGCATTGTCAAATGGGAGAGGATGGAACTGAAAGTCCGAGAGGTCTTGTGGCCAAGGAAAAACCCATCGACATCATAGTTAAGTCGAAACCGACACCCCAGCTACCGCGTTGTTATGCCATATGTGTCGCTTGTTAGACGTTCGAACTGCCAGCAGTCCTCCCACTTTGCTGGTGGATCAAGTGCACCGTGACAAGTTAGCTATTTTGTGCGGAATCCTCAAACACTGGAGCAACAAAGCTTCCTTTGAGGCCCCTGAAACGCGGGGCTGCTTGTGAAGTGCTCGGCCGTGAATTTAACTAATGACATCAGGGTCAACTGTTTCTGTTTCAGCGGTCGGCCACTCAGCTTGATGTTCCACCAGCGGTCACAGGGGGCACTGTTGCCTCATGGTCTCCTCGCCGGCAGAGTCGGTCCCAATTCGTGGGTTCAGTGTCTCCTCTCTTTCCTCTCATGAGGTCTTACCGTCGTGATAAGCTTGGCCCAATTCCAGGGCGACCGCTGGACTGCTGGTAGACGTTCCTTTTCTAATCTGTTCCCATCAAGGTTCGTTTTTGGAGCAGAGCCGCCGCAGCAGAGCGTCAAGACTTTTGGATATTTGGCGGTCCTCTGAAAAAAGCTACAGATTGCATTATTACGTTGCCTGTATCAATATATCAAAAGGCTCGCTCAGCATTTTAAGGACCGAAATAGAGACTCCGATGCAAGAAAGTTCTATACACGCGCACGCACTTTACATCGAGTGGAATTGTTAGCGGCTTTGTAGCTGTGGCCTCCTTCCAGCTCCCTGTCTGTCATGCTGTCAGACTGAGCATGCCCATTACAAACCTAACTACATTCCACCCGGGTTGCCAAGGATACACAGCAGAGCTGCCAGACCCCCGCCCCACCACCACCACCCCCTCCTGACATATGCGTTGTACAATTCTCTCGGTCTGCCCCCCCCAAATGCAGAACATTTCTCCAAAAGATGCCAACAACTGCCTAAACATGTTCCCTTCTACCATTGCCGTCTGGCCACTGCGTCGCGTTCTGGTCCGCTCTGGATCACGCTTAATCATTCTTGTCTCATCTGCTTTCCACTGGCTGTCAGTGGCTTGTCAGAATTCTGTCAAAGCCCCACGCTGTCCGTCACACACGACTGCCGTTAATGACATGTGATGCCACCCACTGTTGTAGTCGCCCACTCTAAGAGGGCTGCCAAGGGACTCACTATGCTTGAATATTTCCTTCCTCCTGTGGAGCCTTTAGCATTTTTTTTTTCTGGCTTCCACTTTCCCTGTTGACGCCATCCCTTTTTATTTTTTTTTTTGCAAGGCCCTCTGAGTGGTGGGCTTTTTGTGGCACACCGTGCTGACCAAGTAAATCTGAATTGTTCTGTACTTCCCGCTAACCCACCGCCTCCCCACCTCCCTCCCTCCATGCTCCTCATTTCCAACTCTGTTCACACTCACCCTCCTTTCTCTCCTCCAGAGGAAGAAGTGGAAAACTTTGACGTGTCCAGTCTCCAGGAAGAGGCTCTGAGGAACATTGAGGCTGACAGCTTCTGGTGCATGAGCAAACTGCTGGACGGCATCCAGGTATGCGTACTGTCATTGTGCGTTCAAAAGATAAGAGGGGGAAACTCTCTTTGCGCACTTTCGTACTTTCACACCAATTTACTGTACATGTTGAATATCTCCAAGTGTCTCCACCTACGTGCTGCCTGAGGGGAAGATCTTCCTGTGTGGGCAATTGATACTTTGGTAGTAGGCGGGAGCTGCCGGGCTCTTCTTTCTTATTGGCACTCTTTTTCATGTCCCTGGAAGGTATTTGATTTAGTGCTCATCCTACAATGCAGCTGTAACTTGTACAGTTTCACATCTCCCAAACCCCAATCGGTGAATTTCCAAGTATTGTGCCGCAGGAAGTTGTCCACCTTCGCTTCGGATGCTCCGATGAATTATTGATTGAATGATTGATTGACCACAAGCAATTAAATGCTCCTCCACTAGATGGCAGAAGGTACAATGAATTCAGTTGGCCACACGTTCAAGAATCCTGAGTTGTTTTAGCGAAACCGCTCGAGATTTTTGAGCAGATTGGGTTCATTTTTCGCAAGGATGAATTATTTTAACGCAGCAGATTGGGTTGAAAATCAAATTGGATGAAGTACCGCTCGAGATTTTTGAGCAGATTGGGTTCATTTTTCGCAAGGATGAATTATTTTAACGCAGCAAATTGGATTGAAAATCAAACTGGATGAAGACGGTCGCCATTTTGGACAGTTTCGTTGTGTAATGAAATGCAAGTGAATCTAATGCAACATGCGCCGAAAATGTCGGTGGCGGCTGGATATCTCCGTTTGACAGGGGTTGGTGTTAAAATCCTGGTCAGGACGACTTGTAACATCCATCTGGATCCCAATTTAGGACCCATTACAGCATATGCCAGAGCCAAGCTTGGATAAAAATGGCTGCGTTGTGTCACCGGGGGCATCAGGTGTAAAAAACTGTCAAACATAACACGAGTGACTCGTTCTGGCCCCGAAAGAGGAAAGTGGTCGCTTTAAATATTCCTTGTTGATCCAATTTGCTGGGTGAAATCCTCAACCCAATGTTCTGGGTCTAAATAACCCTTAATTGGCCCTGTCTCTTTTGGATCCAGTGCTGGGTTGGTCATTTCATCCAATTTGGGTTAGCAGCAGTTTTTGATATTTTTGATGGTGTCCATAAGATTTCTTTTCAGTAGCCGTAAAATGTTGGGGAAACAAATAAGATACCCTCAGAGTCTTCCAATAGTTGCAATTTAACATTCCCTGTCCAAATGACAAAGTGTGATATCTATCTGTAGTCTTTTATCAAAGGTGATTGTGCGCGTGCGAGCGTTAATTCATTCCAGTCAATTTGTCGGCGATTCATTTTGGAAATTAATAGTCACTGTGCCCGCGTTGTTCCTGAGGGGAAAGCAAAGCGGAGAGCAAGCTGAAGTTGCGAGCCAGGGAAGTAAGAGAGAAGAATGGAGCGCGTGGTCGTGTGCGTATGCTTTTGTGTGCGCCATCGTCTCCGTGCTTGTGTTTATTTGTAACCTTGGCTCCAAACTAATTACGTACGATGCATCGGGGAAGCTGTGTTGCCCCCCCCCCCCGCACCACCTCCACCTCCTTTCTCTGCATCGTCCACCTTCCCTAATGCTTTTTAAACAATCCGGCGGAGGCTGAGTGCTTCAGCAGCGTAATTAGTTGGCGATCCTTTCACTGACCTCGTCTCCAAGCCACTCGCATTCTCTATTAAACTTCGCTGTGTCCTGAAGGTGGGCGTCTCAGGGGGACAGAGGAAAGGGAGTCTTGTCTGTGTAATTACATTTATTCATCGGCTTTAAAGGGCCTCGTACATCGGCGGAAACTTGTCACGCTGTTTTATTGGAGGCTAATTGCATCTCCGTGCTCCTAAAAAGACGCCTTCAAAAATGCTGATGAATATTTGGGGAAATTATGTAGCGTTCCCCCCCCCCATCTCATCCATAAAACTGCACTTTTTTGCATAATTTCAATGTGAAAAAAAATCACATTTCTGACGCCTACAAAACCCCATTTTTGGCAAGGAATAGTGACTGGGCCATGCTGCAAATAGCATCGGCAAATCATCGGCATCACTCCTCAATTTGTTTTATAATTGCCGATCTTAACAATTTAAGTCGTTAATGTACCATAAGCACTGATCCCAAGAGATGAACCGGACAAAAAAAAATGCACCGAACGTGCAAGGACACTTGCACGCGCCTTCGACATTGGTCGGGCTCTCAGCATCTTTGCGCGTGACATGAAAAGCACAAAAATATGCCGAGAACCTTGAATCATTTTCAGCAAATCGAAAAAAGCGCGAATAGCTGAATTTGTGAATAGTCAAGCACAATTAGGCAAGGTTTCACTGTTATTTTCCACCCTTCAAGTGAACTCATATTTAGTTTCCATTTTAATCTATTCAGCTTTTGATCCATTTCAACTCGGAACCGCCGGCTTGATTGTTCTATTTTTTTGCCCAAGTGGAAGTCGTTTTGTTGTTAAAAGCACGTCTGCGCTGAGTGGCAGATTGAGTGGCAGACGTGTGCGTCCTGCACTCGCCCGACATGGAAGGCATAGTTAAACAGACAAACACCGCTGCGAGAGCGCGATCCCGGCCTTATCAACAAGATAAGCGCGCCGAACTGCTGCTCAGCCCATTTCCACATCAAACTGGCAGCTGACAGTAGCAACCGTGAGTTCCCGCAAACATGTTTGAACTGCCTAATCCTCTCCACTCGCGTTCAAATAGTCTGGTCTTTACGGTAAAGTCGTCTAATCCAATAAGATGACTCTACCTCTTGCCAGTCGGACCCTTGAAGAATCAAAGAATTACAATTAATTAGAGGATAAAACATTTGCAAAATGTGAACGGGTCTTATCCAGATTAGTCGATGTGCCCATTTGATCGAGCTATTTTAAGTCCACCCGGGTCTTCACTTTTCGTATTTCCAGCAGCTAATTAATCTTAGACTGTGCTAAATTGGGCAGCACTTGCAGACAACTTATCTAATTTAACGTATTACAATGGTTCCACATCTCCAATCAATTAAACCGGCGCCGTCGTATCTGTCCGTCGATATGCCGTTGATATCCATATCTCAAGGTAATTTGCAAATTAGAATCCGTCGCGAACATGCCCGGCCGGTGATGCGGCGTGAAATTCATGGATGGCAGCTGAAAGTGCGTCTGACGTGTGGCCGTTTGCGGCTCCACCTCCGTTTCTCGCGGAGGGAAACCAAGTCAAAAAGTTGAAAAAGTCCATTTCGCGGTCAGCGCGCCCCAGAGGGTGCTTACTTTTTAAAACCAGTCGATGAACATCTGTTTTTTTTTTAATGCTAATTCTTTTTTTGGGAGCTGTGGCTTTTAAATGTATTATTCAGCGCAAAATTGAAGAGTCGATTTTTTGGGGACGGTCACACTGGGATCTGAACATGTTACTGGCAGTATAGACTAATAAAGGGCACAGCATGGAAATTGCCTCCTACCACGCTTTACTGTCGATATCAGACCATAATTTGCCATACTACTCTCCATGAAAAAAAATGATGAAATGAAACGGCGTCACCGATTGACCCGACAAACATGTACCGTACAGTGTACAATGATTAAAGGCTTGACAGTTCCCTTTCCTGCTGCTCCTTGTCTGAGCTGCATCCAAGCCCTCATTTGGAGCGCCGGCAAAGCCATGTGCGCCCGCATCATTGTCAAGGCAACCATCTGTTTCCGTGGTACCGACTAGAGGCGGGGTCTCTGTTGATTCAGAGCGGGGGCCCGTCGTCTTAATGTCAAGCAGAAGGTAGTAAGACCAAAGGCAGACTTTGTGTCCGGTCCTGTGACGCCCTCAGCTGTCATTCAAACACCCATCCGCACGCACGTCCGGTTTGCGATGTTGGTGTCCTGGGCTTACTTGCGTTGTGGAAATTTTATTTGCCGAGGGAGCTAGACAATACGAGTCAATAATCGGTACCAAAAAAATAAAATACAGAACGTGTCATTGATCAAAAACAGTAAGCGGTAAGAAAACGATGCCCAGCCTTGAGTCACCCAGTCCTGGCCAGCCCATCAGATGTGAGCCAGCCATTCCAGATCTCCAAAATTTTCTTCCACCAATTGCTCGCTGAAATCCTTCAATCCCTCTTGTATATTGTCTCCACTCTCGTCGTTATCGCAACCTGTTTTCTATAATCTTCTTTTCTGTCACCCACGACGACTAGCAGATAACTGCACTGTCCTGCGCTTTTCGGCACAGCGCCGCAGCATCCATTATCCTAAAGCCTTTATCTTTACCTGTCATCTGTCTCTTTCCCGCTCACCAACACAAGCGCCGACGTCCGCCCGCTCGCCGCATTGTTGTGCCGCCGCTGTCCAACTCGGTGATAGACATCAGGCGCCACCGATGGAAGGCAATCTGAGTCTATTGTGGAGCCATTGTTGTCTCTAATAGAATGGACTTTAGAGGTGAAGAGGAGCTATCGATTCAGCCGAGAGCGAGTGGAGAGGCTTTCGACACCTGGCAGAACTTGTGTACTGGGTCCTTTTGGTTGGGGAATGGGCAGTTGCGTTGACGTGACAGGCCAAGGTTTGGCGAGAGCGTGTCGATTGGGAAATGAGTGTCTTCGCTGCGCCTTATGTGATCACAGGTGCATCACATCCGAGTAGAACAGGACAAAAGAGAGGCGAGAGTAAAACAAAGGACACGCGAGGGTAATGAGAAGAGACCGAGGAGATCGGGTTTAAAAGAACTGAAAATCCTCTCCCGATGTATCCTTGTCTCACTTGGCATTCCGTAGTTTTCTATGACCTAAATATAGACGACGATTGAACATATATTTGCAAAATATTTAACTGTAACAACTTTGCAACAAGCGGCGGCTGACAAAACAGGTCCGTTATTTTAAAAAGCTTTAAAAGAAGCTGAAAAATACCATGGTAAAAAGTCTTCGCAAGAGTTGAAACGCCCTCGCTGTATGTACCGGTAGGAGGCAATAAAACACGGACTCGCGCTGTGCAACCGGATGAAATTTTTACGAGCACACATTGAAGAGGAAAAAAAAAAAAAAACCTAGCATTTGGGAGCATAATGGTTGTACTTTCGAGCACTGAGGTAGATGGCAATAAAGAGAGACGTGCAAATATGATTTGGCTTTGTGAATTGGTCTGAGATACCTGATTGAATTGCGTTAAGAAGAGGGTGCAACTGTACCATCGAGAGCTACTGTACCAAAAACCGAAATGAAGGATTAGGAAATGCGATGCGGCGACCGAAAGCCGGAAAACAAGAAGCAGGTGAAAGTAAGAGAAAGGGGAGTTGATTAAAGCCAGCAGCCTCAATAATGCAAATGTAATTACTCTCAACGCTTGCTCTGCACCTCACCAAATTAACACGGGTGGAGAAGAGGAGGGGACTTGGAAAACAGAGCTGAATTACAAAAGGCAAATGTGATTCAGATAAATAGATGGAGGTGGCTTCATGAATTAGTAGGTTAAGTAAATAGCTGTTGGGAATTTATCCTCTTATTCTGGCATAAAAAAAGCGCTCATCCAAATCATTTCAGGTCACAAGAAGCACTTGTTATGGTGACACTCGGCGCCTTTGCTTGCCTCTTTGACTCCCTGACATGAGGCGTCAAGAGCGGTGACACTAGCTACAGGATTTATCGGCCCAGCATTTCGGAAATTCCCTTTGACACGTAAAGACACAATGCGGCTTTAATTGCAGGTGCTCAACGACAGACACCTGCGGAACTCCGCAAGCTGTCAGTTTATTAACACCAAAACGTAATGGGTAGTTTATGCTCTCTTACCTCCATGCGATCGATTTGGAACCTGATGACTCATTCAGCTGACGATGAGCAGGGAAGAACGAATTCCAATAGGGAGCGAAAACCCGAAAAGGGCCTAAAGCAGAATGGCTCTACCAAGCCAATCGCCGGTAGGCTCAGGGGGATGCGCACACACATGCGCACACACACCCCTTCGTTCTGCTGATCCTGAAGGACAACTCGAGCTGTTTATTCCTAAATCACCCCTCCCTCCCTCCTTCCCTCCTTCTCATTTTCTCTTTCCATCACTCTCTGCTTGTTGGATGGTTTGCCACATCAGCTGTTCTCTGGCCATACTGAAATGACCCCTCACGGAAACGCGATCCTCCTCGTGTGTGTGCGTGAGTTTGGAGTCGTCCACAGAATGCTTACAGGCCCTTCTCATGTTCGCCTTGTGCAAGTTTGACGAAGCCGCGTTGTCCATCTTTGTGATCATTGTGTCATTATTCCGGTCTGAAGTGCACCGTGGGTTTGTGAGCGTTTTTGACACACGTGCGTAATTGACTGTTTTGCAAATTGACACGTTTCCATTCAGTCTAATATTCCATTTTTTTTTTTTTGCTACCCGCGAGACAATCAGCTCTCTGATTTGTCTTCAAGACCACACACTGATTTTAATAGACTGCTCGAGTGGCGCGTGTGATGCACAAAGCGAGTCCTGGCAAGCACTTCAAACCTGTAATGGCTGCTGCTCTTTTCCCGTGACAAATGAACCGTCAGATGGGGGTGAGGGGGGAGGCGATGGTGAAATTTCTGACCATTTTCTATCAGGGGATCTTCAATTGGCTGCCGACCGCCAGAGGAACAATTTTTGCAATGTTTTCCAGGAAATTACTGGGAAACATGACAAGAAGGCCTATAATGGCATTTCTGTTTGATTGAATCAGGCCCGGTGTTGGCTGAATCTCTTTTTATTACCGCCGCCAATGAGGTTCCGCTTTCACCTGCATCTGTTGCACGGGCGACTCTTGTACATGTAAATGCTATTGCCTTGAGATGCATTGTGTGTTCTGAATCGCCCCCCAACACTAGGACAACTACACGTTTGCGCAACCGGGCATCCAGAGGAAAGTCAAAGCCCTGGAGGAGCTGGTCAGCAGGATTGATGGTGAGTCTCATGCTTTTTGTAATCTCTCCAGGTTCTCTTTGCAAACTCCTCCGCAGAAATGAGCCAATCCATACGTTGCCATTGCAAGAAGAGTGTTCATGAGAACAGATTGTTTGCATTTGGACCGCGAATGTGGGTTTTAAAAAAAAGAAACGAAGACAAAAGGGGCGACATTGCCCTTGGCGACACTTGATAAGCTTCAGCGCACAGAACCGGCAAAAAGGCTCGAAAAATATGACTCGGCATGTTCCGCTTGGTCTTGCTCCATAAGTGCCCCGTCATCACGGCCGGGGCACGGACATTTTCTACCTGGCTGGTTTGACATTACCACTCCTAATGAGATCACTGATAGCCTGGATCGCTTTTCGCTCGGCTGTCGACAGGGCGTACGCTTTTTGGGGCGTCTCGATGGCTTCTCAGCTTTTCCAAATTGATTGAGCCGCACCTATCGCATCGCCGGTGACACCGCGGATTGTCAAGCCTCTCACACAGGAATGTTCGACCTTGAAAATGCTGAACAATTAAAGGCAACGTAGGAGAATACAATTTACGGCTTTCGTTTTGTTAAAAAGTATGCGGGAAGAGAAACCTTGAGCCAAAATAATCGCCAGGAGAGTTGGACCGAATGGTCAGCGCATTGCTGATTTTTTTTTGTCCCTCCTCCTTCCCTCCGTTTCAATAACTTGTAATAAAGCCAAAATGCACATTAAAGGCACGCCACCATTCCCTGTACCCGCATGCCCATGCAGTTAAAGACCTTATAAAAAAAAAAAGTACAAACAATTTCTTCGTTTTACAGCTTAACTGGGGATCAACATTCAAGTTTAGTGGCTGTTGAAACCACAGGGTGGAGATCATTAGCTTTTAAAACCACGCCAATTTAGCACCATTCTTGAGAAGACTGCGACTCATAAAAAAATACTGTAGTTAATTCCATCGGCCTATAGAGCACAAACATTTTATATGAAATCGTTTGTCTACGCAGCAAAAGATGATTGCTCACCAAAGAAGTCACGGTGTTTATTTCCTCGCGCTGATTTCGCGCTGATTGCCCCCGATTTAAAAAAAAAAAAAAAAAAAAAAAATTACAGGATTTTTTTTTTCTTTCACTGCCCGCCCCTCATAATTATTCCACTTGTAACGACTCGCGCAAACTCCTGTTTGCCTTGTTCGACGCCATCGCAGGCACCTTACCTCCTCCAAAGACAAGCTACTCTGCCGGCATGCGTAAAACGCCTCTCTGATCTCTTTATCTCTCTCCCTTATCTTCTGTTCTGTGTATTTGTCGCGAGCAAGTGCATTAGCACGAGTTCATTAACATGCAAATTGCCCAAAGGTGAATTTAGTTATGCAAATGCTAGGCACACTGACAGCGTGTGCCGCGTGCGCCTGCATTGTGCTAAATGCCTGCTAGTTGGGTAGAGATAGTATTATGGGAGATAAAAGACCAACACACAAAAAAAACAAACAAAAAAAAAGTCTAGACTATTCTGAAGCTTTCAAAAAAAAAAACCAAACAAAAATAAAAAATCTAGACTATTCTGAAGCTTTAGTTTCAAGTTGTGTGTGTGTCAACTTTTGAAAGTGCAACGAGTGTGCCGTTGCGATTATGCAGTGCGCCAAGGAGAGTCACGCCGAAACGTCCGCATCAGCACAACGCCGGGAAATTTTCGCTCGTCACTGTCCGACCTCCGACCGTCCCGCGTTGGCCCGCGCCTCGCCAGCCACGAGCCGGCGGCACGGCCTCCGTCCTCAACTTGAGCCCCGCGGTAGGAAAGGAGACGGGACTCATCAGTCAATCGGCGGACATGAGCGATGTCATCCTCCACCTTGCTCGGCCCGCAGTTACCAGCCGGCCCAGCGTGCCGAGCGCCGTGCCAGCTGGCCCGCCGCCCAGAGTTAAAAAGCCACACGTTTTAGTATGCGTATGTGTGTGTGCTAATTTTAGCTACTGCGATAATTCCTCATGACAAACGACAAACTAACTACCTGCACTCCCGCGTCGTGTTTACTCAAGTCCCGAATACGAGAGCCGGTTCATTGACGTAATTTAACTTTGTCCAAAAGTTGTCGGGCAGCCGGCCGAGCTCTGTCACCGTTTGCCGTTAATAGCGGCGGCCACATTGTGTGCTCTCGCCCGTGACGTGTCATAATTACACCGCAGTGACGTGATCTCAGCGCGAGCTCCAGTTTATGCAACATGCTTACGTGAGCTTACCTCGACAGGTGCCATTCAAGTGACTGCGGTTTGTTGTTATCATGTGTTCCTGTCTGGAAATGGACGTTATGTAATGTTCTGGACATCCAAATTGCATTGAATGCGGTGCTGTGTGTGTGTGTGTGTGTGTGCGCGCGTGCGTGTGCCTTTGTGCTTGTCAGTCAAAACGATGCCATAGTTCCTCCCTAACTGCTTTTTCTCACAGACTCTCTGACAGCTCTGCAATTACCGCTCTATTATGAGGCACACGTGTGTGTGAGTGGGGGGGTGGAGGGGGTGTTGCGGCGGTGAGATTGGGTGTCACCGAAATGTATCATCCGCTGAATAAAGATCAATATTTGTAATCTTTTGTTACGTAAAGACACAGATACGCAACATAGAAAAGAAACAAACCCCCAAAGTCTTTCAATGATTTTGCTCATTTTCAAAAATGTCTGATCTGGTTCTTTCTTCGTCGCCACGCAGAGTCGGTGCATCATCACATGCAGCATTACGAGGTGGAGTACTTGCAGTTTGCCTTTCGCTGGATGAACAACCTTTTGATGCGGGAGCTGCCACTACGCTGCACTATTCGACTCTGGGACACCTACCAGGTGAATCACACCCATACGGTCACTCTGTTGACAGAGGGCAAGCTCGTCGTCATGTTCCAAACATGCTGCCGCCCCCCCTTTCCCCCCCCCCCCCCCCCCCCCCCATTTATTTCATAGCAGCAAGATGGTTAACCCCGTTTTAGCATCGGCAATTACGGCGAGCGTTTTGTTATTGATTCATCGCCCGCGACTTGAGTGGGCAGCGCTTGAGCCGCGCTGGAAATTTACGGCGGAGTTTGCGGGCGCCGCAGAGGTGCAGAGAGTGCAAATGTGATGTTTGATGAGACAAGGGGAGAATTGCCTGATTTGTTTGCGTTACAGCCAGTAAAGTTTTGTTTTTCTGTATTTTCAAAAATGCCTCTTCTATTTAATAGAGTGACACTGATCTTTAATTTTCACGGTGGTGTTCCGGAATATCCTTTCTTGGAACTGGAGAACTTTTGCCATATCGCGAGGGGGAAAAAAAAAAAAAAGAGAGACCTGCCGCCCTCTGAACGTTGTAAACTAACTGAAATGACGGTTTAGTGAGTTGCCCAGCTACAATGCTCTACTTGTAATCCAGCCTCTAAATATTTGATTTTACAACGCTGTTTGGATGGTGGCCCCGTCGCACACGGAGGTACAGTGCGCAAACACGCACAGTACACCTGTTTTTGTTTTTTTTTTGTTTTTTTTTTTGGCAGCCTCTGTCACCTGTAGTCCGACGCCAGTTGGGGAATCGGAGCGTTTCCGCTCATGAAACTTTCAGCACGACAGCGGGCGCAAAGCGGCTCTCGTGTCTGTTGGGAAGACGGCAAAGCACAAACCGAACTGTTTTTTTTTTTGGAAACTTTGAATAGCAGAAATATAATCCCAAAAATGTGTGCAACTAAAACGTTGAAGTGGGGAAGTGGGAAGAGATTAATCAAACTGCTGGATGGCAACTTCTATTCGGCCATGTTAGCACGTGCCACCATTTATTATCATTAGCACCAAGGCTAACCTCAAAAGCGGCTAATTCAGAGTAACTGTCGGAACCATTGGGACTCCGTTTTCACAGCAAGCCACCCGGAATGTGTTTTTTTTTAAACGACATATTTCTGCTTTAACCCCCCCCCACCTTGTGAGCCATTTTTTTCTCTCGTTATATGCAAGACCGAGCAAAATGCAAAGCTAGGCCGTTGGAAACAAACATGTTTTTGGGTCACTCCAAATGCCCCTGATAAATAGAAAGCCTTGCCCTTTGCCTCTGAGCGTCTGCGCGCGTTCCAAGGGAGGCTTTAACCTGAGCGTTTGTAATGTCTCCGCTGTGGTCTTCTTTCTGCGGCGTGACCATCTGTTCAACGTGCCTGCGCCAACACAAGCCAGCCTTTTGCTTTCGCTCTCAATTTCTCTCATGCTCTCTTCTTTGTTTTTGCCACCCCGCCGATGTATCACATCTTCCTATTTGGCCGGCTCTGCTTTTACAAATAATTCATTATTCAGCCCTTTATTAGCCTTGCGTTTGTCACTATTGATCCGGCTAAGAGAAGGGATGGGAGCGACATTAAAAAGTCACACAGACACACATGCAGGAATTATGTGGGAAAAAGGTGGGGGGCGGGGGGGCGCACATTCACTTTTCATCCCCAGCAGGCGGTCGGGCGGGCAGACAGACAGAGACCAAATTATCCCTGTTGCGTCGAGCATGAAATTAGCAAGTAACACAGTGTGGCAGCATTAGCATGGCTGTTAAAAAGATACGGTGTGACACTTACAGCCGCTAAATCAAAGTTCTGTCCGATCATGCGCTTTGTCATGCGGGGAGCTGCCCGTTGTTGAGTGACAAGTACATGTGCGCCCAAAAAATGTTGTTCGTTAATTTTTTGGGGGGGGGCAGAGTGTGGCTTCTTTTGCCATCTAAACGAGTGGGCTCGAAAAATGTGTGGACTATGGAAATGAGGTGATTAGTTTGAATCCTCATCCGCACTCATTTTTTTTCCCCCCTCCTTCAATTTTAATAGGCACCCACCAAACCCAATATTTTAACTTTCCATTCCACCAAGTGCTTAGTTACTTGAAATTCACTGAAGCGAGCTGCCAAATCGCCCGTCCGAGTCTTTAGTGTAGACCCTGCATGATAATTTCCAACTTGAAATAGGTGTTCAGTTAAAATCCCTTAAGCATAAATGAGAGATACCTTTCTGACGCGGCCGTCCTGTCAGCAGAAATTCAGCCGTAATGCCGTCGTGATTTTTTTTTTTTTCTCGCGCCGCTCAAGCGTCAGCGTTTCTGACATTTGATGCCCTCCCTGTGTAATTATTGCATCAGCGCTTGATCGTCTTACATCACTTCGGCGGCGCCGTCACCTTGCCTGCCGTCGCTCCGCGGGAATATCAATGAAGCCCCGTGTCATGCCGATTGATTTTGCCAGCGGTTGTGAATCCCGCGAGAGCCGACGCAGCATTTTGAAGCCGCCGTGACATTGCAATATTCCCGCTCGCGTCTGTGTTTACCTTGTTTTGTGAGCCTAGCGCGCCGCGGACCCCCTCCCCGTCACCCTCGCCCGTTTCCCCGCCGCTTTGATCAGCCAGTCGAGCGCGTCGCAGCCAATATGGCCGCCGCCACACGAGGGCCGCCGGATGCGAGGCATCGCAGCAGAGGAGGAGACGCGCCCATTTCACCGAGTCACCTTGACGAGCGAGGCAAACTTTATTTCGTAGCTCATAATGGCAGGAACGTCATTGAAATGAAGAGGCGGCGACGGTGCGATAGGACGGTCGGGAGGGATAGTTTGTCAGGGAGAGAAATTGATGTGGAACGAGACAGAGTGATGGATGATCCAAATGCGGCTAACATTTATTACTGTCAACATTAATCTGTTGGGATGGTGGGGCCTGATGTTTGTGCCTCCGCATGTATTTTGAACAATTCACTTTTTGGCCAGAGTTGTTGGAGTGAAGCCCAGTTGATTTTCTTAAAATACCGTACCGCTTAAGATGTGCATCCTTGCCCGAGCTTTGCACTGAACATGTGATGATGGGCTGGACAATTTAGCAAATTCAAATCGATTTGTTTTTCGGTTTTAATGATTTAAAAAAAATTTTTTTTTAAAGCAGGTTTGTCTGCCCCCCCCCCCCCATTTTAGTTTAGTATTTATTAGTTTTAGTATTTTATTTTTTTAAATATTTGTCTGGTGCAAGATTAAAAAAAGAAAAAAATTGTTTAGTTTTAGTTTAGGTAGCTTTATAAATTGTAAGAAGTCGTTTCGGGTTTTGACCATTCTCCAAAATGCAATATGCTCTTACAAAGTGTTTGCATACTTACACTGCACAGCTACGGCACCGGATAAAATAAAATCACGTTGCTGACGTAGACCAGTAGGGTGTTTCAAAGACAAATTTGGATTAGACATGGAAGGGCAAGCGATTGGTGCGTTGCCAAATACTGGCCTAGCAAGCAAAGCTTTAAGATGTTATTGCGGGGAGCGAGATAAGAGTGGATTTCAGTTTTTATAGTCCCTCAAAGTTTACCGGTGCCCTCAACCATGAACTCGAAACCCACGCTCGGGAGAAGAAAAAGGAAATTAAAACGACAAATCTTTTGGCCACGGATAAACACGGCGCTCGCTGCCTGCGTGTCACTCATCTACTCGCTCATCTGTGTTTGTGTTTGCCGGCTCCTGTTGTTTGGACGCCGGCTGCCAGGTTAGACCGACGCGCCGGCGTGTACGAGTCGCATCGCGCCACGCTCGGCTGCTTGCAGACATCCTCTGTCGGGCAAAAAGGCAAGAAAATGCCTGTGGATTTTTTTTCTTTTTGAACAACATCCGCGTAGTTGGGCGCGCGCATGTGCGCAATGGCACACGGGGGTGCGGAATTATGGGGAGCTCAATCTCCCCGACAAGCGTGCCAGAATTAGCTCCACACATCTCACCATTCACACGTTGAAGATTGGGAGCCCTCCTTAAAGGGGCCGCGCGCTTCTAAGTGACTCGCATTCAAAGAGCCGAGTAATTATCCTCCATGTGATAGGGCTCGGGAGGAAAATGAATAAGAACAAGGAACATCTCATCCTTTGTCTCCCCGCGACTTTAATTCCCTACTGCTTATATTTAAAAAAAAAAAAAAAAAAAAAAAGCGGGCTGCCAAACATAATGAGGGATTGAAATAAGAAGGCGTGCAAAGAAAAAGGGGATTGTGTCGCTTGCTTGTTCTGCATGTGCACATTTCTGGATTCTGGCAGGAAACGTCCTGACCATTTTTTTCGCGAGGAAGCATTTGCGGCCAAACACTGACATTATTTACTTCCTCTATCGTTCCATTAACAGCAGCTTTTTCATTGTGATCCCTCTAGGCCGAACCGGAGGGTTTCTCCCATTTCCATCTCTACGTCTGCGCGGCCTTCCTGGTGAGATGGAGAAAAGAGATTCTAGAGGAGCGAGACTTTCAGGTAAGAAGCAAGGAGGGGCAAGCACATCGGGTTGCTCGCACTCATAGCACACAGAGCTCACTCGGCGCGAGAAATTTACCAGGCGGTAATTGCGGAGTTGTTCACGGTCCGCATCCCTCCCTATGACTTCCATGGTCATTAAGTGTAAGGTTCGGAAGTCAGGAGTGCATTAGCGGGTGGCGCTAGACAGCTGCCAGAAGGTGACTTTGCTGGCCGGCTCACCAGGAAGCAGGACTCTTTAACCGCACCGGCGCAGTATGACATCCCCTCAGAGACACGCGCGCGCTTTATCTTACAGTGGCAAAAAGACTTGGACGCCGATTTCGCCAATTTGGCCTCAAAAGTCGATTTAATGAAGTTGATATCGCCTGGCATGTTAGATTGCGCGAGGGCACCGGGATTTTATTTCATCACGATTAATTCAATATGGAAGTCCACCGCCACACGTTAAGCATGTCCCGCGGCGGTCATGGCGACACGCTTCGCGCCCCGCGCCGAGTGGCGCACCACAGGTCACGAATCCGTCTTCATGGACATGAGAGGAAAAATAAGAGAGATGCACGCTGTGTCGAGGATCAGGCTACGAATGCTAAAATGGGAATGGAGATTTTTTTTTTTTTTTTTTGTTATAGTGCAAATGGTGCGATGTAATGGGCGCAATATGGCAGGCAAACACCGTACATACAGAAAGTGCGTAGTTAAGCTCGGGGCTTCGTTTTAAGAGCGCTGCTTTTCGTTCGTTTCCATTTCATAATGAACTCGGGGGTCAGCAAAGGCTTTTAAATAACATCTTGCGACCACGTTGAACAATGCAAGCGTCTATACGGGGTCTCCCCGCCAACAGCACTCACAAGTTATAGACGGGAGTAAACTGCATGCGTCCAGTCCTATTAAAAAGATTTTCGCAAATTTTCCATCCTCTTTTATTTTCTCCTCAAATTTTAGCTTGCAAAAATTGCACTACCCCAAAGGCGTATCTTCCACCCTGACCTTTTCCGCTAAACACATTAAGCCAAATGTCCTCGTATACTACAAATGAGCTCTCGGTGCCCATTTGTTACCATCTTCATCTCTGCTGTCTGCACTTATTGGCGCAGTGGTCCGTGTGACACTTGGTGGCCCACTTTATCCATCGCTTGACCAATATGCAGGAAATACGGCGCAATCTCCCGCCTGAAATTGATCTGCCCAGAAGAACACTTGGTTTTAAGTATTTTGGGCTCAGATTAATGTCAGCGGGGGAGCCGAAAAGTTAACGTTCCCTCTCTTCCCGAGCTTTAGTGGTTTAATTCCCCGAGATTTCTGCCCCTGATCCCACCGAGTGTGAGAGTTCAGACGTGGGCCTGGCAGCTTCTTAAGGGCCTGCTGAGCAACTTCTTATCCACTCGCACAGCCCACTTGTGTCACATCTGCTTTTCGTTCTCCTTTTCCCACTCACGCGCTTGGCCGTTACTAATTTCGGCCCGTTAACGAGATACGTTTCCCAAGCGCTGTCTTTTCCAACAGGAGGCGGGCACGATAAATAAATCGATTCACGCGGACTTTTACACGCGGTGCCGTTGAGTGCATCTTAAAGCAGGCATCTAATTATAATCGAATTATACAGCCCTTTTAAAACAACCCCGCTGCCGTTCTCGGCAGGGAGTTTAAAAACAACAAAGAATAATAAATACGATACAGGCGTACCTATAAAACAAAAAGACGCGTCGTGACAACAAAAGCCAATGTTTGAAACTGTTAAAAGGCAAAGGGAGAGAGCGCAAAATGAATTTCCCTACCTGTCAAAAAAGGGGAGCAGCTAATTCAATGTTTTGCCTAAGTAGGCTGTCGTGCAAAAGAAAATGGCAAGTAAACAGGAAGGGAGAAAAGTAAGGCGAGAGATGACAAAAAAAATTAATAAATTCTAATCTCGTTCAGATCTCGCCGGTGTTGCGCCTCGGTGGGCAGTCATCGAATTTAAACAGCAAGTTAAATGCAGAGAACGAGCGAGTCCAAGCTAATACAACAAGTGAATTTGAAGCATACTGTATTTTCCGCACTATAAGGCGCGCCTTAAAAGCTCACAGCGTGCCTTAAAATCCGGTGCGCCTTGTGTGTGGTCATTACGGTAATATGTCGACCCCAAGATGGCTCCTTGCTGGAGACATGCTTACAATGTTAAAACTTGCTGTTGGTTCAGTGAACTGTGTCGCTGCTTTATTAAATAAGTTTTTGTTGCAGCTCCGAAAAAAGGGAGAGCTGTGGTGTTGTTTTTTAAAACACCCACTTTATTAATGGTTTTTACAGTCTCAAAAAATTCAGGTACGTCTTTGTCCGTCTCCGTGGCTTCTCTTCTTCCGTTCGATTCGAGAGCCGTTCATGACCGCCGCCGAAAAACGTGAATTAACGATGTAATAACGAAATAATTCATCAAAACACAAAATCAAGTCGAACTGAATGAACATAGCTCCATCTACTGGATGCATTTTAGATTGCGTTTTATAATGCAGTGCGTCCAACATATGAAAAAAATTACAAATTAGGCCATTCATAATCCAGTGCGCATTTTAGTGCCGAAAATACAGCAATTTGTTTTCAATTTTTAATCCGGAGTCCGAAGTCACTCTTATTTTTTCCTCCAAATCCCAGCATGTACTTCTAGAATAGCATTTTTAGGGGGTGTGAGTTGGGTGGTCCATTTGCAGCACTGTCGTCCTTCCCCGTGCATAAAGCACTTCAGTGTGAGCTAATTGTTTTCAATGAAAAATGTAGAGCAGCGTGTGACGTTCCAAAGAGTGAATGATTAATTCACTTTAACGCTTTTAATTAACCGACGGGAAGAAAATCATTTAAAATGATAATTTGCCAGCGGTTATCTGGCTTTGTGCGGCGAGTCAAGCGCAACCCCCCCCCCTCCTCCGTGTCCGTGTTTGGTGGGACCGGCTAAGCCGCTAGATGAGAAGCGGGAGGGCGGAGGTGGTTACTCCCCCAGCAATCCCGCCTCCGGCGTTCCGCATCGCCGAGCACGCCTCGGCTAACCGACGACCTGGGACGCATGTCCGCTAGCGCGTGTGCTCCTCAGAACCTTTTTCCTCCTGTCACCGAACGTAAGCGCACTCAAGAGACGGGGAAGGAGAAAAAAAAAAATGTATGTGCACATAAATAATGCCGCACATATTGTAGCATTTTATTTCCACTTGTCACACATTTAGAGTACACGGAGGAGATGCTGCCCAGATCTCAACGCAAGAAAAACAAAAAAAAAGCTTTGAAACGACTGTGAGAAAGTAAACATTGCACTCGTGGAGCTTTCCACCATGATTTGGCCTGAAAGTGGAAACGATGATCCAAGTGGTCCAAGTTTTAGGGCTTGTTTGACTGACACGGAGCTGCCCCAAAAAAAAACAGAAAAGATATCATCTGTAAGTTTGAGGTCGGTCAGGAAAATTTGGCCTGTTTGTGTCGTTCCTTCGATGATATGGCAGCTTCACCGTGTTAAGGTGCCGCGTGAATACGCCGGCCAGGATTCGGGGACTTCATGGAGTCTCCACTCGTCGCCTGGCAACTGCTCCTTCGTGTTTTGTTCCCCCGCCCTCCCCTCACCCCCTTCTGTAGATGGAGCCAACAAGATGCAAAGAACAGGTTTTAATTAGCCTGCTTCTTGGGACTTTTGCTGGGTGGCATTTATTCGCGTCGAACGGATTACAGTAGTAGCAGTTGGTTTTTATTCCTAGCCCTTAAAAAGTATAGATGTACGTCGTGATGTATAAATCCAATACCGAGCTACTCTCTACTAAGCACCTTAACTTTAACCGTTATCTCCCGGAAACTATTTGAGGGAAGTATTATTTTTGCTGTCATAACAAATCGACAATTAAATGGCAAGCTATATCTTCCGAACGAGCCCTGAATTGCCTCATTAGCTATTGGAATGACACCTCCACTCAGGCTTTTATCCGCCTGCCTTTTCGTGACTTGGCCCAGCCGTTTTCACGTCTGCGCCCCCCCACCCCCCCGCCACACGCCCGACTCCTCTTTTAGCGCCCACTGTTTGCCGGAGGGCCCATTTAGTGTAATTATACGAGCTACAGAAAGCTAATGGCCCTGACAGAGCAGCGCCTATGCCCATTACACCTTAGGATGCCACAAAACACCATTACCACCGCCGGCTACCTGGAGCGTGCGCATGCAGGTGACAGTCACGGTGTGTGTGTGTGTGTATATATATATATATATATATATATATATATCGAACTACATCTATAGCTCTGTGGAGCTGAAGATCCAGCCATAAATCCATAGATCTACATCTGTAGATCTACAGCTCTAAGGCTAGATCCATAGCTCCCGAGAGCTTGCGCTATACAGCTGGAGATCGAAAGCTATAGACCTCGAGTTATATTTATAGCTTGATGTATGGGAAAAGGAAAAATACAAAGAAAAGAGTCCACTTTTTGATTTGGTAGTTTGTGTGAAAGCTCAGTCAGAATACAGTTTTGAAATTGTCTGGCATGCAAAGAGTTCACATGGTCATCCTCATACAAATGTGCTCTTTCTCCCCCCCAAGGGCCTGATGATTCTACTGCAGAACCTTCCCACCATGCACTGGGGCAACGAAGAAGTCAGCGTGCTGCTGGCTGAGGCCTACCGGTTGAAGTTTGCTTTCGCCGATGCCCCCAACCACTACAAGAGATGATGATGAAGCCGCCGTCAACCCCCTCGTCCTCCACCCTGATGATTCTTCACTGGAAGGACCACCTTACCCTCACGGACAAGTTTGCTTTCGCCGACGCCCCCAACCACAACAAGAGACGATGACGTCGGCCTCCTCGTCCTCCGGTGATAATTCTTCACGCCCGAAAGGACAAGTTTGATTTCACCAACGCCCCCGCAACCACTTCGAGACGATGATGTCGGCCTCCTTGTCTTCCATTGGTAGGACCATGTTTCCCGAAAGGAGATTTGACAAAATGCGTGGATGCAGCACTGAACACGTGGCCGGGGACATTTGCAATGTACTCATGGGGAGACGGACTCGAGAGAACTTTTGGTTTTTGTTGACCTTTATTTTGTTTACTGAAGGTGGCGAACTGGTGTACTCACACCCACAACTAATGCAGTGCATATAGACACACAGCATTAGTTGTGGGTGTCTGCAAACACACACGTGTGTGTGTGTGTGTGTGTGTATGTATATATATATATATGGTGTGTGTATGTAAAAAAAAAATATATATATATATATATATATACATATATATATATACACACACACACACACACACACACACAAGATTTAGTTGTGTGTGTACATATATATCTATCTAGGAAGCTTTCTAGCTTCTTCTTAGGCCGAGCGATGGTCACGCAGGCAGCCAATTATGGAGGAGTGCTCACTTGAGGACTCCAGTCACTTCATGGGAAATTAAAAATACACCAGTAGCAACAATGGTCGCAGACACGTCCCCATCTGTGCTGTTGGCTTTTTGCTCTTCGTCTGTCCTTCCTCGCCTCAGGGAGCGTTACATCATTACATGGCGGAACATCACATTAGCCGTCGGTTTGGAACCCAGAAGTTGAGCCGAGTCCTGCCAACAGTGAACAAGTGAACTTGTGAAGGCAGATCTGGGCATGTGAAATAAGATAGTATGAATGCGGTATTTGCATTCGTGAGTGTGTGCGCATTACCATGATGATGATTGTTACCTTAAAAGCTTTTGACTCTTGTGTGTCCATTTATGGGGTCCCTTCTGAAGTGAGGTGTTAACAAAAAAAGAACATGACCATGTATAGTAAGGCGTTTTTAGCATGAAA